ATAACTCTATCTCTTTCTCTGGCTCTTTCTCTCTGTCTGTCTCTCTCTCATTGCTGTTGAGTCAGAAGTGATTCAGAGCTCACTCTCCTGCAGGTTTTATTTTTCCCATAGGAGCTGCTGATGCTTTGGCACCTCAGCTACTTACCACTAGGCAACCAGAGCTCTCTTATTATAGAAATACAGGACTGGAATCACCCCTGACACTTTTGCATCCTGTCTCCATAGATTTTCAATGTATATGTGGAACCTATCATTTGAGAGGCTGGGCTTTCTGAGGAGGAATGTGACATTAGGGTTGGAGGAAGTGCATCAATAACCTACGTTATACACTTAACACAACATTGCTTGCTGAAACTGAGTAGAACCTGAAACACTTGCTGCAGAAGGTCAAGGACTATAGTCTTCAACATGGATTGAAGCTCAAAATCAAGAAAACAAAGATTCTCACCACTGGGCCAGTTGGCAGCACCATGATGGATGGAGAAGAGACTGAGATTGTTATAAAATTTCAGCTTGTTTGGTTCCACAATCAGCACTCTTGACACCAGCAGTCAAGAAATCAAAAGACAAATTGCATTAGGAAAATATGCTGTCAGGGACCTCCCCAGAGCCCTGAAGAGCAATGATGTCATTTTAGCTACTAAGGTGCACCTGACTCAGGCCATAGTGTTCACAATTACTTGCTATGCATCAGTAAGCTAGACAATGACTAAAGAAGATAGAAGGATTGATGTCTTTGAGTTGTGGTACTGGAGAAAAGTATTGAATATACCATGGACTGCTAGGAGAACACACAGGTTTGTCCTAGAGAGGGTGAAACCAGGCTTCTCTTTGGAGGCAAGGATTCTGAAGTTTTATCTGAAATACTTTGGGCATGTTGCAAGGAGTAATCAGTCCTTAAAGAGGGACATCATGCTTGGAAGGGTGGAGGGACCGTGCAAGAGAGGAAGACCCTTGATGAGATGGATTGATTTAATAACTGGGGTAATGAGGGTAATTGTGTCAGAGTTAATGAGGTTGGCTCAAGATAGATCAGGATTCAGAGCTATTGTACATAGGATTGCTATGAGTTGCAAGTGACTCAATGGCACATAACAGTGACAACAACATACAGAGGTATGCAGTAAGCAAGCACTGAGGTATGTGCTCCAGTTTTTTTCTGAGCAAATAAGGTATATATAATGGGCTTTTAGACTTGCTTGTGAGGAACTGAGACCATTTATGTTAAATCTGGCAGGTACCATAGGATTACTTTTCTTGAGTCTTTCCTTTTCCCTTCCTCAATCTGTTCTTTCTTCCCATTCTTCTCACTTCCCGTTTTTTATACACTTAATACATGAAAAGAAATTATAAGTGTCAGTGAGAACACAAGGCCTTTGCTTTTTATGGTTTACTTTTTGTGCGTTTATATTGACTGAGGCTTGTGATGGAAACTGAACAATGAAGTGTGTGAATGAATTCTACAAAACATAAGGTTACTTTATCTTCACTTTCCCCACCTTCATATATTTTTTTTTAATTTGAGTTGAGTTGGCAACTCTTTTCTATGAAAAGCTAGAGTGATTTAATTTTCCCTTTGGAGCAGAGCTTAGCTAATGTAGTTAAGTATCCTTAGAATGTAGTTTAGTATCCTGAGTCGTCTTTTGCATATATAGTTTTCCTTGATGCTAGATTGAGAGTTCCTTATATGATCCTAATGATAGTGAGGTTATTGTAGCTCTTCTCTGTGGCATGAGAAAGCATGTTTACGAATCTCAAGCTGGAAGAGTGGAATTAGGCGTCCTAGCTCTGGTGATCTAATGGGTATTAAGAGTTGCGCTGCTAATCCACATGCAATTTGAATCCACGAGCTGCTCTGCAGGACAAGGATGAGCAGTCTCCCTGCATGCGATTTACAGATGCAGAAAATCTGATGGAGGGTCAGCTGTGAGTCAGTTCTGACTTGATGGCACACAGCAACAGTAGCAGCCTCGCAGTGACGGTAACAATGGGCCCGCAAATATCAGATACCACAAAAACGGCACAGCATAGGGTCAAGTTCAGATCTGTTGTTCATCGGGTTGCTATGAGTTGTAATTAACTTGGGGCACTTAACAGCAGCAACAACAAGAACACTCATCGCATATGAAGGATATAAAGCTTTCTAAAATGTAATTTGGCATGCTCAGACCCATTGCCATTAAGCTGATTCCTATTTATAGCAATCCTGTGAGATGAAGTATGAGTGTCCTGTAGGGATTCCAAGGCTACCAGTCTTTGCAGAAACATATCTCCACAGCTTTCCCTTACAGAGGGCTTGTGGGTTCAAACCACTGACCTTTTCATTAGCATCCAAGAGCTTAACTACTGTGCTACAAGGGTTTCTACATAAAACTCTACAAAAATTATATACAAAGAATTGAAAGTAAAATTGTAATCATTTTACCAGCTGTCTAGATGTTTCGTCATTTACTAAAAAAGCAGACTAGTCCTGGTTTCTGGAGCACTTAATTCTTCTGTTAGAAACTGTGTTAAAGGAAAAAGAAACTGCTTTTGATGTTTATTCACAGCAATTAGGGCAGTGTCTATTTCATGAATTAATCATAATGTATAATAAACTATTTAGAATATTTTTCAAATCCATTCTATCTTGCTAATGAAGCATTTGATGAATTTTAGTAACAGAGACTTCACTGTGTTAAAAGAATATTGTGTTCCCTGAAAAGATAGGGTAATGGTGGGCATAGTCCTATGATGATTAATTTTATAAAACAGAATGTATGGGAATGATTGTATGACACATAATGTTAATGAAGGAAAATGTGAAACACACACACACAGCCACTATGTATACATGAATGGGGAAAATATTGAACGCTTAAATAGAAGAAATTCCTCAGAGTGACATCCACTTCCGTAAATAGCTTCCCTCCAGAAACCCTATGAACCTGGAGAAAGGATGAGAGTCACGCATGTAAGTGTCGAGGACTTTTGTTCATAGGGTTGCTATGAGTCGTCTACAACTCGACGGCACTTAACAGCAACATATATGAAATCTGTATAAGATTGAGCATTTTCTCCTCTGAATCTAACCAGCAAACAATTGTTTCAAAACTTAATTTTCTTTCTCTGTTGACTAACATTTTCATTTGAATCTAAAGGCCTTAACTGTAACTTCTTTGTATTTTTCTATATTGATTATTATTTATAATATATCTCTTTGCATAAACTTTTCACTGAGGAAAAACTGTTACAAATTTGAGAGCCTGAGGAAGTTTCTAAAATGGTTATCTTAAAATTATGAATTGAGTGAAAGTTTACAAAGCCTACTGTGTGTGTCAATCAATCATTCATGAATATTTAGTTCTATAACATCAATTGCAGAAAGCAGGGAATACCAGAAGAATGTCTATCTGTGTTTCATTGACTATGAAAAGGCATTTGACCGTGTAGATCATAACAAATTATGGCTGACTCTGAGAAGAATGGGAATCCCAGAACACTTGATCGTTCTAATGTGAAACTTATACTTGGACAAGGAGGCAGTCGTCAGAACAGAGCAAGGGAACACTGCATGGTTCAAAATTGGGAAGGACGTACACCAGGGATGCATCCTATCTCCACACCTTTTCAACCTATATGCAGAACAGATTATCCGGGAGGCAGGGCTCTATGAGGGGAAATGTGGGGTCAAGATTAGTGGACGATTTATCAACAATGTGCATTATGCAGATGACACAACCCTGCTTGCTAAAACTGAAGAGGACCTGAAGCGCCTGCTGCAGAGTGTCAAGAGTGCAGAGTGCAGCCTACAATATGGATTGAGGCTCAATGTCAAGAAGACAAAGATTCTCACCACTGGATCAATTGGCAGCATCAGGATGGATGGTGAAGAGATTGAGATTGTACACAGCTTTAGTTTGCTTGGCTCCATAGTCAACAGTTTTGGCACCAGCAGCCAGGAAATTAAAAGGCACATTGCCATGGGAAAGTCTGCTGTTAGGGACCTCTCCAAAGTACTGAAGAGCAATGGTGTCTCTTTGGAGACTAAGGTGCGTCTGATACAGGCCATGGTCTTCGCAATCACCTGTATGCATCAGAGAGTTGGACAATGACCAAGGAGGATAGAAGGAGAATTGATGCCTTTGAGCTGTGGTGCTGGACAAGAGTATTGAGAATACCATGAACTGCTAGGAAAACAAACAGATTTGTCCTGGAAAGGGTTAATCCGGGTGGCTCCTTGGAGGCAAGGATTCTGAGGCTCCGTCTAACATACTTTGGACATGTTGTAAGGAGAGACCGGTCCTTGGAGAGGGACATCATGCTTGGGAGGGTGGAGGGACAACGCAGGAGAGGAAGGGCCTCTATGAGGTGGATTGATTCAGTGACTGGGATAATTGGGATGGGAGTGTCCGAGACAGTGCGATTGGCACAGGACAGAGTGGAGTTTAGGGCTCTTGTACATAGGGTTGCTATGAGTCGCAGGCGACCCGACGGCACATAACAACAACATCAATTGCAATATACTGAATGTCTGATAATTTATTCATTCCATATTGTCTTTCCTTTTACTCATTTTGGTAGGTGTTTATTATCTATTAGTTTTCTACTCCTCCCATTCTTGCTTGTAATCATATTAGGATGATTTTCTCTGTATATAAACCTTTCTTTAGCTTTTTATAGCGGTGGTCTTACAAAGTATTTGCCCTTTTGTGACTGATTTTTTTCACTCAGCCTAATATCCTTGAGACTCATTGATGTTATGTGGTATTTCATGAATTCTTGTTTTTTATTTTTGCATAGTATTCCTTTGTGAGAATGCACCATCACAATTTCTCTATACATTAAATGAGTATTTTGATAGGTAAAGGATTTTCTGTACAACAGATTATGTACAATTTATAGATAGATTTAAGTAGCACATTAGCTTGGAAAGTGTACATCTACATTTTGTTTAGTCTGTTTTGTTTTTATATTATGAAGAAGAAATAATACCTATTGATTTCTTTCTTTATTCTCAGCTATTGACCTGAAAAGTGGTTCTGGAAAAGTATATGAAGGGCCTGCAAAAGGTTCTGCTGACGTTACCATTATAATTTCAGATGAAGATTTCATGCAGGTGGTCTTGGGCAAACTTGACCCTCAGAAGGTAATACTCTCTTAGTGTTCATTTATTATTTTTGTGTATTTGATAATTTTCCTTTAGTACTGACTGTCAAAATCCGATTTAAACTAACCCTATGACTGTAGAGTTGATTCGTATTCCTCTTAGCCTTATAGGACAGATCAGAAAGATCATAAAGGGTTTCTGAGGCTATAATCCTTATCGGAGCAGACTACCACACTTCTCCTTTGAAGCAGATTTGAAGTAGTGTCTTTTTGGTTTATAGCTGAAAGCTTAACCATTGTACTACTGGTATTCTTTGAGGAAGACACAGTACCAATATTATGATTACCAGTTGATATATAGGGAACTTTGATGGCCTAGTGTTCATTCGGTCAGTTTGTCTATCTATCTATCTGTCTGTCTGTCTATCTATCTATCTATCTATCTATCATCTATCATCTATTTTTTTAAACATAATTTCAACTGATGCTGAATATTTAATTTTTGGTTAAATTATTCTTCAGCAAATAACAAAAGAGTTTAAAATCCTTTTCTAGACTTTTTTTCTTTTAGGGAACAAAGAAAGAAAATTTATAAGGCAAAAATCATTTCTAGATTTGGAATCATAACTAGATCATAACTAGAATCATAACTAGAGTTTGGAATCATAACTAGAGTTAGGAGGTAGCAGAAATATAGCTGGCAGCTTGGTAATTAAAGGTGGGCAGTTAAAAAGGGCAAAAGGGAATGTAAGGTGGTTAAAATGAAGGGTGGAGCTAGAAGCCAGAACAGGGACAGGACAAATCCTAAGCTCTTCACTTAGTGCCAAAGAGAAGAGAGCCCTTTTCTAGACTTTTACATGCTTATGTCAGTAGTTCAGAGATACACGAATTCTATGATATTTGTAAAAAAACCAACCCAGCAAAATAAAACCTGTTGCCATCAAGTTGATTTCTACTCATGGTAAATCTATGTGTGAAGAGGAGAACTGCCCTTGGCTGTAATTTTAACAGAAGCAGTTTCCCAAGCTTTTCTTGGGACAACTCGTTTTGGACAGCTAACCTCTAGGTTAAGGGCTCTGGTGGCCTAATGGCTAAGGAGTTGCACTGCCAACTCAATGATAACACAACTCAAATACACTAGCTGCTCCCCAGGAGGAATATGGGCAGTCTCCTCCAATGTGATTTACCACCTCTGAAAACCCATTGGAGGGTCAGCTGAGTTCCAGGTGGACAGTGCATAACAATAACAACAACAACCGTTAGGTTAGTAGCTAATTGAAAACTGCACCACTCAGGGACATGTGGTAGTAGTTTTGTAATGGTTAAGGGATACTTAATAAAATGAAACATGACATAGAAGATTAAGGACTTGCAGAAAGCTAGAAATGGAAGAATAGTTTAATTAAAAGTGTCTTACTTTTTGGATTAACATGTAGAGGCATTTCAGTGGAAAATCAGTTAAGACAAGAGGATCCTCACTGACCACTGTTATTTAATATTGTTTTGGAGCATTTAACTAATCCAGAAACAAAGAATTCTAGTAACTTGATGAAGCTATTAGAAGAGAGGAGATTATTTTGATGTTTTAAAATGACATGATTATGTATCTGGCAATCCCAGGGTATGCAAACAAGAGGTTGAATGCCTAATACTTTTTCAAAAGCAATTTTTTTTTCTAGCAGCAAAACCAACTACATGATACAGGATAGTAACCAAAACTACAAAATACCAGTGGCTACTCTGACAATAAAACCACAGCACTTGGACAAAACAGCTATATAAAGATTAGAAATTGTTTGCATAAATAAAACAATATGCTATTTTTAGGACACCCACTACTACTGACTTGAACTCATAGTGACCCTCCTTCAGGTTTCTGAGCCTTTAAATCATGATGGGATTTAGAGCCTCTGCTCATCTTTCTTCCTTGGAAAAACTGATGGATTTGAACTGCTGACTGTTTTATTAGAAGTCTGACATATAAGACACTATGCCATCAGAGCCCCATGTTTTCTAGGCTAGAAGGACTAATTTTAAAAGAATTATAAAATTGCATAGAGGTTAAGAATGTGCTCTTCAGCATCAGAAGAATATAAATTTGGATCCTAGCTCTGGCATTTAATCGCAAAACCTCAATTTTCTCATTTGTAAAATGGATATAAGAATAGTAATGAATGATTCCAAAGGATTGTTGTGAGAAGTAATGGAAGAATATTTTTAAAGATCTTAGTGTAGTGCTTGGCATAGAGTGAGCCGTTAGCTAATTCTATTCCAGGAATTTGTTTAATGCTTACTCTGAACCAGGAATTGGTCCAGGTGTTAGATTAACAAGATAATTCCCCTAAAACTGTGGACCTTGCTTTTAGAGAGGTGATGGGAAAGAAATAAAATTTCAGGTTTGAGGAACAGTAAGGTTAAACCTAAGAATAGGTTAAGTAAGGCTTGGCAAATTTCCCCCCCCCTCTCTGAAGAATCAAACAATAAATAGTCTAAGCTTTGTGGACCAAATGATCTCTGATGTGATTTCTCAGCTCTGCTGCCAAAGCTTTACAGCAGTCATAGAAAATATATAAACAAATAGAATTTGTTTACATGTTCCAGTAAAAAGTTTATGAAAAATGGACAGCAGACTAGATTTGGTCCATGGACCGTGATTTGCCAGCCCTTGACATAGAGTATGATGAATGGGCAGGGAACTGTTTTAGATAGAGTTTTTAGAAGCCACCTGAGAGACTTGGAAAAGTGACGGAGTGAGCCATGATGCTTAGAAAAACACGAGTGCAGAGGCCTGTGGCAAAAATCTTGTCTTTATTGGCATATTTAACAGTGAAGAGACCAGAAAGGCAAAGAAAATGAACAATGGAGAAAGTGGTAAGAGATGAGATGAGGCAATTGGACAGGGTCTAGATCACACAAGGCCTCTTAGATGTTGACAAAGAGCTGGTGACTTATTGAGTATATAGAAAACCATGGAATTAGGGAATGACAAAACTCAAACTCATTGCTGTTAAGTCCCAACCAACTCAGCCAATCCTCCATCAGGGTTTCAGAGGCTGTAAATCACGTAGGAGATTGCCCATCTCTTTCCTGTGAAAACATAGTGGATCCAAACTGCCAGTTAGATGCCGCGTGTGGGTTATCAGTGCAACACCCTACCCACTACACCAGCAGAGCTCCCCACAGAGTGACAGCATCAGATACTTGAAGGTAATTATTGGTGCTGAATGGAAAACTTAACTTTGGGGCAGAGATTGGGTAATTAAGATGTCTTTTCTATGTAGGTGATAGTTGAGCTATCTAATGATAAAGATTAACTATTCAGTTAGAAATATTTAAAAATATTTTATTGTGTTTTAAGTGATTGTATACACAGGAAAATAGATTCCCATTAAACCATTGATACACTGATAATTCTGTGACATTGGTCATATAGCCCCCCAAATTTGTCAGCATTCTCAGCATTTCCACCTCACCTGCTCAGGGCCCATCCATCCATTTTCCTTAACTTCTCATCTCTGCTTTTGTGTAAATGTTGATGATTTGGTCCCATATGAAGGAACATGTTTCTTACAGGTGTTTTTATTTTATTGGGTGAAAAGGACCACTGGGAAGGGAAGCTTTTTTATAATTGCAAGGACAGCCCTTTGGAGGCCCATTGATTGCTCAGTGAGTTGTGCTGAGTCAGTTTTGTATCTATTTTAGTAACGTCCGGGCTTTTCTTCAGTTTGTATGTTGCTGTTGTTGTTAGGTGCTGGGCCAATCTCTTCTGACTCATAGAAACCATTTGTACAACAGATTGAAACCTTGCGCAGTCTTGCGCCATGCTCACAATCACAAATACCATTCTGTGTGTTTAATTCAAAGCCATATAGAATATAATTAAAAGTAAACAAAAGCAGAGGCAAAAACTCGATGAAAACCTACGTGTATGAAGCTGTGGTATATTCGCACAATGGAATACTATGCTGCATTAAAAAACAAGGAACTCATGCAATATTATTCAAAATGGTTGACTCTGGAGAACATTATGCTGAGTGAAATATCCCAGTCACAAAAGGACAAATATTACATGATGCCACTGTTGTAGAATGGGACTGTCCTTGGGGTTGGGGAGAGACTGAGTAAGATGGGTTCAATAATGTATACTGCACTGAAACAGAGGAGGGAGAGAACCGTCTAAAAGAGAGATGTAACTGGGTATTTCTGTCATCACAGGAGACTAGAGCGAGGGCTGCATGGTGGAGGGGACCTGGGGGAGTGTTTGTAAAACAATGAAACAATCTTTTCTTTTACTTTAAAAAAAAAAAAAAAGAAAAAGAAAACCTAGGTGTATATTATTTTTAATACTAACTCTTCTAAAAATTCCACATAGTTTGAGGGCTTTTCTGAATGCATTTGACTCTTATTTGTATCCCAGTCTTCATGCTATCCATCGTCATTAATGGGAGCCTTCGTGGTGTAGTGTTACTTACTGGACTGCTGCTAGCCGATACTCTGGCAGTACAATTGCACCAGCTGTCTACGAGAGGAAGATGGGCAGTCTCCTACCTTGTAAATATTTACAGCCTAGGAAATCCAATGGAGGATTGCCCCAACTGGATATTATTCTCCAGTGGTGGATTTCATTTTTGGCTTGTGTCATCATTTTTTTGTTTTCAAAGTCTTCATTTGTAGTATACAGTCTTTTCTCTATGTCACCAGCCCTTGCCAATAACCTGAGTGGGTTCTTTCAAGATTCATAGATAAATGATTTCTCCAGGAAAATGAACACTTAGTATTGATCTCACTTCTAATAATTTTTCATTCCATTCTGTGTCACCATTTGCCTTTGTTAGCATTTGACTCTTACTTGCATCCCAGTCTTCATGTTATCCATCAACATTATTGGGAGCCTTGGTGGGATAGTGTGTTACATATTATATAAAGTTTATAGCTTTTCAATATCTGTTCTAATACATTGTTTTTATCCCCCTATCATTTTCCTGATGGTATCATTTCATAGCTCAAGATAATTATTAACTTGTTACATAATTCCTGTCACTACAGTTAAACTTCATTGAGGTTCTGCTTTGTGGACACCACGCCTTTCCACCCATCACTTTTCTTCTGTCTTTTCTTCTCCCCTCATTCTGCTTCAATTTCATGGCCCATCCTCGTAATATGTATCACTACCCTGACAATGTTCTTGTAAGGGACCTGGTGACTTCAGTTTTACCAAATCCAGTGAATATTTATGTATATTATTTCAACTTTTTCCATAGTATTCACCTCAGTTAACCATCAACTCCTGGAGGAAATATTCTCATATTTTGGCTTTCTTTACACCGTATTCTCCTGTTCTGCTCTTCCCACATCTAGGCATCCTCATTCTCTTTTGCTACCTGTCTCTACCCCAAAGCATTACATTTTCTTTTTCCTTGGGGCACCCCCCCCCACTCTTTCTTGAAATAGAAGCATCCACTCAATACTATTTGAAGCCATCTGTATGCGGGCAAAGGACCCTGGTGGTACAATAAACACTTGGATACATCTAAAAGTTTTGCAGTTCACAGCCACAGTTATGCTCCATAGGAGAAAAGACCTGATGATCTATTCTTGTAAAGATTAAAACCAAGGAAACTATGGAGCCATTCTGTTTAGTCCTGTGGGAATCACTGTGACTTGGCAGTGACTCAGCAGTACACAACATACGGTGACAACTCACGTGTTTAAATGTGTTTCTCAGTCATCTTCTTTGAACTCCGTGTTAACAGCTTTCTACCTGATTTCTTTGATGTAATGTCTTACTAGCATCTCAAACTAACTTTATCCAATATAGCATTCTTGATTTTTTTCTCTTCTTCTAGTATTTTCCTTTATAATGAATGAAACCATCATTTATCTAGGTAAACTAGTAAAGCCAGAGTATGAGAACTCGCTTTGATTTTTCCATATTTCTAAGTACATTTTATTCTTAAATCCTGCATCATCTTTTTTTCCAAAATGTGCTTTGGATCGATCTTTCTTCATCTGTCGGGCCATCGCCATCATCCAAACCTTCATCATCTCTCTCTTGCCTTAGTGTCACAGCTTGCTGAGTGGCCTTATTGCTTCTAGTTGCCTCTCTATCTAGTCTTTTCTCTATTCAAGATCCAGGATAATCCTTTCCAGGTGTTGAATGACACTACAAGTCATCCCCCCTGACTAAACAGCAAAAGAAGCCCCTCCAGAGGTATTCTCTTTTGCACATAGATAAAATTGAAAATACTCATTACTATGTCTTATGTCCTTTGTCCATCTTTTTATCTTTGCACATCGCACATCACTCTCCACATTTCTTGTAAAGCTTGTTCTGGTTATATTATTTTTCCTCTCACGTCCTGCCCATCAACTTTATTTTTTAATAATTAAATTTTATTTGTTGATGTTTTTGGTATTACATTAGAAAACAAATTATAATTAGGCCTTCTAGGAGTTCTTGTGTCCGAGTGGTAAGAAACTGCATTGCAATCCTAAAGGCACACAGTTTGAGTCCACCAGGTGCTCTGTGGGAGAAGATAGGGCAGTCTCCTCCTGTGTGATTAACTGCCTGTGATAACTCGCTGGAGGGTCACCTGTGAGTCATTTCCGACTCGATGGTACATGACAACACAACAACAACAGGAGAAACTGTAGATCTCAGGAACATATCTTTTGAACCTTACACAAAGGTTCAAATTTTAACCTTGAATGGAGAGGAATGAGAGCTAAACTAAGTCGATAAAAACCTAAATAAAGAAAAAAGAATGTGTTTGTGTTCTCCTATTTGAATTGAAACATTGGACCATGTACTTTTAAAAAACTTTTTATTGAGGTTTGGGTGAAAATTTACAGAGCAGATTTGATTTCCATTCAGTCATACACATTCATGTGTTTTTATTACGTTGATTATAATCTTCACGTTATAATACCCCTTTATGTCTTTGATTGTTATTTCCGTTTATCCGTCCATCCTCTCCCTTGCTGCCCTCTGCACTCTATCCCTGTGCAAATGCTGCCCTTGTGATCCTGCAAGCTTGATTGTTCTTTAAAGATTGTGTACCTCACAGGTGCTAATGTTCACATTAAGGACACCACAGGGATAAACTGTGTGCCCGGCTCTAAAGGTTACTAAGGGCCAAGGTCTTGGAAGTTCAGCCAGTCTCTATTAGATTAGTAAACTTACCATCAACATTTCTATTCCAGTGTGTGTGGAGTATTGCCTTTTTTCCCCATCTCCCTGGATTGTTCTTGCTCCAGTTGACTGGTTTAATTTCATCTTTCACACTACTTTTGAGGAGACCTTTCCTAGCCATTTCATATAAAATAATTCTTTCTTATTATACACTTTAAAGTATAATAGTATAATTCATTTTTCTGTTTTATACTGTTTATCTTAAGACTCTCATTGCTGTTAAGTTGGAAGCAGCTCATACTTAACCCTCCAGTGTTTTCCAAGGCTCTAAATCACAAGGGAGGAGATCACTCATCTTTCTTCCTTGGTAGATTCACACCACCAGAGAGGAGCTGTCTTTGGGTTGGCAGCACAACTCCCTAGACCACCAGAGCTGTCTTTACAACAGGTTTTTATTATGAATTTGCATTTTATTTTTTACTCCCTTACTGTAAAATTTGCTCCATGTGAACATGGCAGTTACTGATTTCCAGTGCTAAGAATATTGCCTAGTATATATTGTACCCTTAATTAATATTTGTTGAGTCTATTAAAGCAAAGAAAGGAATAAGGGGCATCAGAACTGACTGATAGCTGACCCTCCTGCACATTTTCACAGGCAGTAAATCATACAGAGATTGCCCATCGTTTTTCTGGACAGCATCTCGTAGATTTGAACTGTGTGCCTTTGAGACTGCAGTGTAACTTCTTACCACTAGGCCACCAGTGTTTCCCAGGTGCTTCTATAGTAGCAATAAATTAGGCTATGCAGAGAATATACGCTTCTATAAGCCAAACATTCCATAAAATATTCTCATAATCTTGGGTGAACAAAGGAAAATAATGATAGACTTTATGTTGGTAATTCTGAAAAATATTAAAACCTTAATAGAAAAAGTTTGCATAAGATATATATATACCAATAGTTAATGAAAGAAGTAAAACTGACTAACATTAAAGGAAAACTCTTCCCCCCCCAACATCCAAATAATTCAAATTAAATATGTTATCATCTCAAATTATTAACTTAGTTGTGTTCAGTCCAAATCATTGGCTTTTCTAAAAAAAAAAAAAATGTAAGGTAACAGAATAAAACTTGTCAATCTTTCTCCATTTTTCTCTTCCAGGCTTTCTTTAGTGGCCGACTGAAGGCAAAAGGGAACATCATGCTGAGCCAGAAGCTTCAGATGATTCTTAAAGACTACGCCAAGCTTTGAAGAGCACACTAGATCCTTAACATAAGCAGAAAAATGAAACTCTTACTTCACCAGAATATGCTTGATTATTCAGCACAAGTGATCAAAAGTTAGAGGGGAAGCTGCTTAACATTTACAGATTTCAGATATTGTTACTGATTATCATTTTCTACTAAATTTTCATGTATCATTATTTTTACAAGGAACTGCAAGCTAGCTCGTGATTATGCTTCTGGCCTTAGATCTTTATCTTCATAATAAAAAAATTTTACCCGAGGTCAGTCGTCTTGGACTTTATGATAACATTTATAAATTAAAAGATTAAATGAGTAAAACCATTTTGATACCTTTTGTACTTTGTTTCTTTGTAATAGTTTTCTGTTCTCTAATTTATTCCTACTCCAGTTTTAACAAGAATTTTCATATACGTAATATTTTTTCACATTTGGTGTGATAGATAATGTTCTTCAAGACAAAAGTTGGTGTGCTTCCAAGTACTTTACTCTCTTCTCTCCTCCACATTGTTGAAAAAAATATTGAAACTATTTAGCTTTTTTTGTTTCCTTGATAAGTGGTTTTAAATAATAATGATGATCATTGGCTTATCATAGCACTGGTTTTCCCAAACTCTTCGAGAATTCTAATTAATTATTAATCCTTTTCCCCCATCTCTCAAGCTGAAATTTTGAATGAAGAATCTCTTCTTAGTGGGCCCAAATCAATAAACTCAAACTGATTGAATTTTGAGTTCCTTGAACCGTTCATTACTCCACATACTTAATAGCATTTCAATATATACTCATCAGATTTCCATTTGTGCATATTGGGAAAAATCAAGCATTTTTGTTGGATCTGTCATTCCTCTTCATGGGTTACAATTTGTATTATCACCTTTTGGATCTTATTAGGATTTATATATAAGGGACTCTGATGACTTAGTGGTAAGGAGTTGTGTTGATAGTTTGAATTCACCAGCTAGTCTGTGGGAGAAAGATAAGCAGTCTTTTCCCAAGTGATTTATAGATTCTGAAAACCTGCTGGAGGGTCAGCTATTAGTTGGTTCTAACTTGATGACACACAACAGTAACAACAACAATGACCAAGAAGCTAAAATTGACATTGGGACATAGCCAGGGTGCATTCAGCAATACTTTATGAGACCTTTGCCTCAAGAAATGTCTCAAATAATGCTCCAGTCTTTACCACAGTGTAAATCTGGGAGACTCATCAGGTAGAGCTGGGATAATCTCATTAGCTGGGAACAATACAGCTGCTTCTGTTGACAGGATTGATTCAACACAATTTATAGACTCAGTGGCCTCACCTCCCCTTTGTTATGTGCCGTCAAACCACCTGCGACTCATAGCAACCAAAAGTACAACAGCTCTGAAGCCCAACACCTACTCACATTGTCCCAGACTCTGTTTCATTCCATCTCCTTTGGGGTTGTCTTCTCCTGCACTGTCCTTCCACCCTTCTGAGCATGATGTCTTTCTCCAAGGACTGGTTCCTCTTGGTCATGTGCCCAAAGTATATGAGAGAGTATATGAGCTTAAAAATCCTAGCCTCCAAAGAGAAATTTGGTTTCACTCTCTCCAAGACAGACTTATTGTTTTCATTACAGTCATGGTATGTTCAAGACTTCTCCAGCACCACAACTCAAAGGCATCAATTCTTCTCTCATTCTTAGTCATTGTCCAGATTTCTGATGCATAGCAAGTAATTGTGAAGACCATGGCCTGCATCAGACGCACTTCAGTCTCTAGACTGACATTGTTACTCCCCAGTACTCTTGAGAGGTCCCTGAAAGCAGATTTTCCCAATGCAATTTATCGTTTTAGTTCCTGACTGCTGATGCCAAGAGTGTTGATTGTAGAGCCAAGCAAGCTGTAATTGTTAATAATCTCAACTATCATGTTGCTGCCAATTGAACCTGTGTTGAGAATCGTCTTAATGTTGAACTTCAATCCACATTGAAGACTACTACATATTCAGCTTCCTTATTTCTGTTCATATGTCTACATCTCAAGTTTCAAGATCCCATTCCCTGCCCCCCCCAAATATATGCCATCCCTGTAACTTTAGACACAATCTAAGGTTGGCATTTCAGTTGTTGATTGCCTTCGAGTAGAGCACAACTCAATAGCGACCCTATGAGCAAAAGGCCTAAAGTCGCTCTACAACTAGACATTTGACGTTTATCAAAGTTCATGGAGTTTCCAGAGGTATGTTGTTTAGGAAGTGGTTGCCACTATTGTAATTATGCTATTCTTACATTATAATTTTGTGTTTGATTTCCAACAATATTTGCTCTGCTAATAGCTCTGGTCAGAGCCAGTCACAGAAACCTTGGGAGGAGCCAACCAGAAAGAACATGGCCGCCTTCTCTTCCCCTCTCCCTTTGGAGCTTAAACCCTAGGCCAGCCTGGCTTGCCTCGTTCCTGGGGCAGAGCAGTCCTGCACGTCAAATGCAAGCCCAAGAAAGCACTTGACTCCAAAATCTTGCCATAATACCCGCAGCGCTGGTCTGCGCATTGCTGCTGTACAGAGGTAACTCGTGGTTCTGAATACTGTGACACTGATGTGCCAAATGTCATATGGTTACCCATGGTGGACAGTGTTTGCTGGAGCTTCCCGACTAAAACAAGCCTAGAAACAGGAGCCTAGAAACTTCTGAAATGGCTTGCTTCCGGAAACTCTATGTATGAACACTGCTCAGGCCTTTTGTTATAGGGTCGCTATGAGTTGTCTATGACTCGATGGCACCTAACAACAACAACAACAACAATAGCTCTGGTGGCCTAGAGGTAGGAATCTACTCTTTGAATCTGCCACCTTGCAGGAGAAGTATGGACAATCTCCTGGGTGATTACTGCCTCTGAAAACCCACTGGAGGGTCAGCGGTGGATTGGTTCCAACTTGACAGTACACAACAACAACAACAACTACTACTATAGAACATAAGGCTTTCTATCAAATCACAATTGGAAATTTTGAGAACTTATGTGATAATTGAGCTTTGTCTACTATAAATAAGTTCAACTCTATTCCCTAATTTTCTTTTTTTAATTATTATTAAATTTTATTAGTTT